TGATGATGATGATGATGATGATGATGATGATGATGATGATGATGATGGCAACAAGTCTCCTTTTCCGTATTTCATCCCAAAATAGGACCAGCTGTTCCCAAAAAGATCCAAAATGAACCTAAAGGCGAATCAATCACCATCACCTGGCACCCCGACTTTTGTTTCCAAAGACTCCCCGAGCATCCTCCCACTCTGAAAGTATTCAAACGAGTAAACCCAGCAGGATCCCATCCAAACAGTTTGGCACCCCTGTTTGGGGCCCACCCCGGCCCAACCGGACCGTTTGGCGCCTCCGTGCGGCGTCCCAGCAGGCCGCCAACGTCCCCCAGCTGAGAGGAAGAGGCGATAACACATCAAGCGGCCGGGGAGGGAAGTGGTTTTGGGGATCATGTGGATCGAGCGCATGGAAGGTCAAAACTACTAGTGTTCTTGCTCCGTTCGTAGCGATGCCAGGAGCCCCGTTCATATAGCGTCCGATCGCTCCGTTCGTAGCGATGCCCTGACCGCTCTGAACGTAGCGTTCTTGTTCCATGTGTGTAGGGAGTTCTGGAGAAAAGCTCGAAGAACAACGGATAAATTGGATTGTCACATGGTGTCTCTGTACAGTACCTTGTTTTCCATTCAAAATTCACTTTGTTGAAATGAAAGTCCAAGAAGTTCGAAAATCGATTGGAAGTCCTGGCAGTTGAGATTCTGGAAAACATTATCCAGAAAGAAACAACTGAAACGATTCAAAGAACGTGTTATAGCCTGCGGTTGGAACATACTCTTCCCAACAAGAACAATGGAAAAAAAACAAAACAAACAACCAATACACGAGCCTCAACTACCCCTACCCTGCACCAGAATTCCAACATATTCCAACCATATTTCCAGCCAGAACTGCTTTTTGTTCTTTTAAATATACTATTCAAATTCTGCACATCCTTCCCTTCCTCCACGTTCGGTCCGAGCACCACCCGCGCGGCGCTGAGCTCCGTCAAGACCTCGGGACGGTCCGGAAGTCAGTCCGGCCACCAAAACGCTTCGACAAATCCCAAGACCTCCTGTATGCTATGTTCCTTGTTCCTAAGAGCGATGCCCTTTCCTCCTAGTAGCTTCTTGCTCCTAGTAGTAAGGCCAGGAGCCCCTAGTAGCTTCTTGTTCCTAGTAGCGATGTCCTTGTTACGTTCGTAGCTTCTTGTTCCTAATAATGCCAGGAGCGCCCCGTTGGTAGCAAGAAGTTTAATGCCAGGAGCGCCCCGTTGGTGGCAAGAAGTTTGGTGTGTCCATTGGGTCGTTCTTGTGGTTGGGCGACCCGGACTTCGGACAGTCATGCAAGCAGGTGAACAACATACGTACAATTGAATTTGGGGGGACATGCTCTTCATTACATAGTTGCAGTTGCAACACACAATGGCTCAAATGGTTTATGAAGTTGCGGAAAAACCTTGTCTACTAGAAACGCCCTACAAATCCACATGACGTGTGTGTGCTTTGATAAAGACGTATTGAATATAAATACATGTATACAATTATATGTATATATATAATAGGTATATCAATACTTCAGAATCTCATACGCGACGCAAGCTGGGTTTCAAGACTTGGGTGCACTTTTGTGGAGGTATCAATGTTGTTCAACCACCATTCAACCACCTCTACAACTACAAAGCAGCTCTATTTCACAATATGTCCATGTATATGTGTCCTCTGCAGCATCAGCACAGTGACCACTGGTTGTCCATTGCTAAGCTTCCAACGATCATGTCAATGGAAGGCACCTGACACCGTGAATCATTGATGACATTGGTGCATTCAACCAACCACATGGGGTACAATTCCAAGTGTGCGACGAACGTGGTTGCCAAATGTCAAGGTCCAGCTGCTATTTTCCTCCAGCGGTCCTCCCCCCAAACACCCCATGACTGAAGGCACATGTAGCGGTTTACTGGCATCACGGATATCCGGCATGCTAAACCCTTCATCACCAGCCTGCAGCTTCTCACAAAGGGCAGCCGCTCCAAAGCTGGCATTCCTCACATGGACAGTGCATGGAAACCATGAAGAAACCACTTTGTCAGAAGCGTGGAGTTGGTGGTAGGACACTTCGGTCCCTTGTGGTTCAGAGGTTGCATGTGGTTGCGTAAATGCATCAAAAAGTTCAGAAGTCAAACATCGTGTGCCAGACAGCAACTTACACCAGCCACCTGGCACACGAAGTGAAGCCACGAATCGAGTGGTCCCGGCCTGGCCCCTCACAGCCCAACATGCCTTTCAGGGGGCCAGGTGGGAAAGGGGGAACCGATTCGGTGACGGATCCGGTCCAGCGATCTGTCGGTGACCAGAGCTGGACAAGACCGGTCTAAGGTGCCCTGGAGCGATCCGGGTGGGTCGAGTCAGCTGCGACAGGGTGCGATCCAAGGATGGCCGAAGCGATGGGTGGGGAGCCTCCCGAATTCCATGAGGACAGCTGCGGTGTAGGGCTTCACAAGGAGGAGATGTTTAGCCTGGACCATCACACGTTCGACAAAATGCACTGGAGGGCATCTGCCTGAAAGGCAGCTCTTTGTCAACTCGGCACTGTCTATGGTCTCAATCTCCAAATTAAGGGTTCACCTGAGCAAATCCTTCTGGAGTGGTGGACATTGCAATGGCATGCAATGGGGCCTATGGAAATGCTGCGGCGACAGGCTCTATAGAGTTCAACATTTCCGGCAGTGCGATTCCACACGCACTTCTCTTGGACCAAAATGTCCCGGTGGGACATTTTGGTGTTTTGTCGTGCGCATATAAGTCTTGCAAACGCAAGCTTAGTGCAAGTCTAAAATATTAAAAAAGCAAGCAACGAATAGGAACAAGTGTGTTGTTCTTTAGAAATGACCGAACGATTGTCAAAGCGCATCGTCGTCACAGCTTTGTCAGTGATCTGTGATTGCAACCCTTGATACGATCGAGTTTCACAACTCACCATCCCTGCACTTGACACCTGCTATACGACTCTTCCTGATACCTCTTATTCCTCTTATCTCTTTGTTATCTTGTTCAACTACTTGTCTATTCACTTGTTGAATGACTCTTGTTCAATCACGGTTCCACGTGTTTTAGCGGTCTCCGATTCCAACTACCACGTACCATGTACCATGCGGTCTCTGGCGCCACCGTTGTCAGAACGGCCCGTCGTCAGCGGTCGACCCCTTTGGCTCCTCCCAGGGCTACAGGAGGTGACCAACAGCGTCTTGCCCTTGGTCTTGGTATAGTCCAAGGTGTCCCGCCGGAACCTCGCGCAACGAACTCCCCACGGGTCAAGAAGCACTGTTGAGGCAGGCATGGTTGAGGTGCAGGTGAGCGTGGATCCGAAGGCAGTTGCATGTTTTCACTCAGGTCATCCATGATTCATTTGAGGTTGGGTCAGCAAAACTGTGCTGCCAAAGGATGCATCCAGCTGATTGGTGTGACCATGGTGCCCACTCAAGACCACTGTGCAACAAATTCTAAGACTCTGAATGAATGAGCTTTGAGTGTCTGGAACATGTAGAAGTTCTAAGATCACGACAGGCGCACATTGTGCTGGAAGTAGGACTCCAGGTTCCGCTCGCATACCTGGACGGTGCTTCTCATCTGAGATAGAACGTTGGGTCTTGCCCGGTTGCCCAGTGAATCTATCAAATAGACACTTGCACTTGGGACATCAGGTGGGTCTATGTTTGCAACTCTTCCAATTTGGTGGGAAATGGATTGCTATTATATTGTGCTGGATTGGTCGGTTGGTGGAATTGCGGCAGTTCCTGCTACAGGAAATAGACACTGCAACAAACGGTGTCACACGAATCCACAAAACACGTCGATGATCTTCGATTGTATAACGAACAGTGGTGTTGATCCTGATGTATCTCAGGGTGAGTGTGCGTTGAAGGGGTGTTGTCCGGCACAACAAGCCCTGGTTGCTGTATTCCGTTGTCAGCTTTCATCAGATAATAGCAATGAATAGCATTTGTTGACCTTTCAACCAGCTCCGAACCTACAAGAATCCTCCAGTAGGCCCGCGTGCCAACCTGACCCATGGGTACTCACCGACCCACCCACCCACCCCACCATCTCGGTGGGATTCGAACGGTGTCCCTCAACAACACACAGCTGGGCCACCAGGCGAACATCACCTTGGCACCCAGCATTGCACACACCAGGCCGGCGGTCATACACTCAGCGCCTGGCACATGGGTCTGGGCGTTGGTCTGGACGTCGTCGGCCACGAGGTAAAGGATATGATAATACCATAAGTCCGACCAAGTTCTAATACACTGAATAAATATTACAAAATTACAGTAACAAAACTTAAAGTACAATGACAACAACGATCAACAACGCATTTCATTGGCCCAGCATACAGAACCTTGAGCTGGTACAGCTGAATGGCTGGTGGCATGCCCCGGTTCTCTGATCAATGCCGCAGCATTTCTTGGGCAAATATGCATGCAAGGGATGTTTCCTACCAGAGTGGCAGGAATGGCTAAGCTGCTGGCTAAACCTGTGCTTCACCTGACGAGTGTAATTATCTCCGAGTTGTGCATATACATACAACTTTGGTTCTATAGTAGCTTTGGCTCGGATTCCAGAAAATATCACCCTTTCGTAACTTGTTGGTGATCACCAAGCGGAGCGGTGTTGCGTCTTAAACCCCTCACGGAACACCTCCTCCGCTCCGCTTCCACTCGGCTCCGCTGCTTCACTGCCGGCGCAGTCGCCTATGACACACACAGCCTTCCCTTCATAGCTTCTGCCCGGCCTCAGGTGCAGCGGACTACATCGTGTTCCAAAAGGCTTGGAGAGATGAGATTGTATAGTCTGGAAGACCTTCCCCTGACGCCTGGGATTGGAGCAGCCCTGGAGAGTTGATTTGAGGGAGTGACCTGCTCCGCCCTGCAATCACCAGGCACCGAATTTGAAGCAAGGCGAACATTTTGGCCAAACACGCTGCGGTCTTCAAAAAACTGACCTTACCACCTGGCAACGAGATGTGCGAACATGCGCCAACAACGATGCTGGGCCCCCGGGCAGCTGTGAGATCATGTGCCGACCTAGTGCGAGCAGCTAGGAAAGCGTTGTGAACGATCTATCAACAAAACTCTACAGCAGCAGCGGTCTGTCAACCAAACACAAGCGTAGTTGTACTAATAACATGTCACTGTATACTATAAGCCCCAACCCATTTTTCAGTATATGATCGCTTCATTCACTTCCTACGGACAGGAAGAATAGCCCATTCTTCAACGCATCTAAGAGCGGCTTGGACGGTCGACGGCCTGAAATCTCAGCCCTTGTTTCTGTGATCAACATCCATGATCCGCCAGCATTTCCCAATTGTACTACTGTTGATGAAACATCTTCAACAGGAAGGTTTAACCATGTTTAAACATCATAGAATTGTATCCATCATAAAGGCTTCTGTGTCAGGCTTCTCTCCACTGGCCCTTTTGACCATTGCTGATCCCACCAAAGAGGTCCAGTCTGCTATGGAATGTGTTGCTTTCCCATATCAGTATCAGGATGCTTTAACCCCCCTTCAGTAGCAAGATCAATAGACCCGGCAAACAGACCTACCAATCTGTCCAGTCGCGGCCGTCCGGCACGGTCCTCGTCCTCTGGGCGCTCGTGGGCTCCTTCCGTCCGCTCGCGGGCTCATCAGTGAGGCCCGGGCTGGCCATCAAATCTGCCACATGACAGGCGGACCTACATCGACGGGTCGATGCCAACACGGTCAGGAGCTTCAACAAATGGAACCCGACGAAGGACCCAGCACAGGTGCAGGGGTGTCCATTTTGGAAACCCATATGTACTATCTTATAGTTGAATGATGTTGAATGGTTTCTGATATCTGCTTTGAAATTATTCGTCGGACTGGCTGTGAGGCATAGAGGGCATAGAGTCATCTAATCCCTTGTTGGAGCAAGAAGATCTCACCAAACAAGGCTTCAAAAACAGGACCGCAAACAACAACGTAATAGCAGTGGTGCCCTCGCCTCCCTCCAGAACACCCGCTCAGTAGGAACTTCCAACAAGTCGCATCGAACAGGTTGCCAACAGGTCGATCTTTGGCACCCGCGACGGCTTCGCCCGCGAAGCCGCCGACCAGGGACGGAGGGAGGGACGAGGATCGGACCTGGAAGCGAAGAAGGGCGCCGGTGGGTGATCCTTGAAGATTCCGTGCCACGGCCTGCGCCGCACGGCCGCGGCGCGAATGGGAAGGCCGGAGATCCGAGCATCGATTGTCATGGGCCCCATAGATGGTATGTGGCCTCATGAAAGAGATCGAAGGGTCATTGTAAGCCAAATGATCGTTCGTCCTTTGGTTCCAGGAGATCTAAGGGCATATACATAGTCAAACTTCCTGGAACATAAATGAGTTGTGTTCTTTTCAAAGTTGTGTGATTGGGGCATGTAAACTTGAAAGCCAATGAAGAATTCAATCCCTAGCCCCGTCTCTTCTGCTTTGACTAATGTTAGGCGATGCCATGAAAGTGGTGAAGTTGCGTACAACTCTGCACCATTGGTGACTCAAACAGCCTGCAATCTTGTGTGTGTGTGTGTGTCAACTCCTGTCTCTAAGGAGAACGACCACATTTTCTAATACTTAATCACCCTAATTCGTTTTCTCTGGTTCTTTTCAGTACAGATCCGCAGGGGGCACGGCGACCGTTCACCTAGCCGCTAACAAAGCTGTGTTCTTTTGGATGAGATGAGATACTGGACGAAGTATCTTATTGTACCTGCAACCAATTTTAAGCTTTGCGGATTTTCAACTGTTGAACAAGCTGTGACTCTCCTTTCTCGTAAAGTGCTAGTGAGTCTTTGTTCAAACAATACTGTTGTCGCGGACTCCTTCGCCTTTCCTTTCCCTCAGCCAAGGTCTAATTGTGTGTAAAGGTCTACTTGCAGTAACACTGGAGTTGCCAAACTGATATAGCTCTTGCGAGCACGGATCTAAGTCTGTCCATCTGGCGTCCCCGGCGGATCTATCACAGTGAGGAAGAAGTCGCGCTGGTATTTGGGCGCAAGGTCTTCCTCGGCACAGCAGAGCGGGGGTGGCAGCAATAACCCCTCACACCAGTGACAGATTGTTCGGAAAACTCATTGATGCTTGAGTGTTTTTTTTGCAATACACTCCCTGAAACAATCATGAAGTGCATGGCTTGGATGATGATGTTCCTCTACAAAAAGGTGGTTTTCCACTTCCATGTTGGTTTTCCTTGGAGTCTAATTCCCTCTTCGGGGGTTAGGAACTACCCTCCCATCGGGTCTTGGTTTGGACATCAGAAATATTCAGAAATGATGGGAGACGGAACCACCGTCTAGATATTTCTGAGACCGACTGTTGCTTGTTCAATCTACCATCTCCAGGACCTTCAAAGTGACCTTTTGAGATGAGGATCGATGAGGTCACTTTAGTCCCTCCAACGAGGTCATGACTCCAACCGGGTTTTCTCGCGCACAGGTCCTTCAGGTGCTGGATGCAGCTGAGGCTCCAGGGACTCCTTGGCCGTGGCCATCCTCCGGTCCAAGCGGAAGCAAAGCCGCCACTTGGGCCGCTTAGGACCTGGGGCGATTTCAGACTCACTGGAGGTGGAGGTGTGATGAGTAGCATGATGCCCAGGTGATCAAAGCATGGTTTCCATGAAGATCATGAAGCAATGTCGTAGATAAGGCCTCAATGAAAGAATCCTTCCAGGGCCACCGAACTTTTAGGTGTCTATCTTCGTGGATGCAAGTGATTGATGCCTTCCAGCTACGCAGCTGCTGAGTGATTGCTCGCCACCCGCAGTAGCTAAGGCACCAACGTGCTTGCTCCTTCTGGGCCTCCGTCTTCCTGGGACGAAGGAATCCGAACCCGACTCCTTGGGCAAACAAGGCCTGCTTCTTTTTTTGACCAAAGTGTTTTATGAAAGAGCTATATATATATATATTAATATACCTTCCCCAAAACAAAAATAGGTCCACCATGGTCCACCACCCGTGTATTTGTCGATGAGGACTTCCTCTTCACGGGTTCGCCAGAGTCCGTGCATTCCCGTTCTTCGCAAGGTGTGGAGATAGGTCTCACTTTGGAATAGGTCGCAACTGCAAAGGAGATTGGAATGAACATTTAGCACCGTGGTGGGGGAAATACTTTGAATATGCCAAGACCTCAGGATGCAAGTACTACCCCCATTAGTCACCAACCGCCAATGTGGACTTCCTGGTGGGTTTCTCTTTCAGGTGCAAGTCTACGATTCGTTCCCCCGTCCTAGCGGCTCAGCACATCGTACACCAAGTGCCCCTGTTTTTACGCTGCGCAAGTGGTTTGGGTCTGAAAATTCTGCGGAAAATCCAAAACCTTTGGGCCAGCACGCTTGTGCTTCTGCACGTTTCTGCGTCCGCTCCAACAGTGTGCATTCCATGCTCTGCTAGCCTAGCCTTCAAACAGTGGGAGAGTGACTAACCTTAAAGCCTGGCCTGGAAGAAGAGCATTTGTTGTTTGAAATGCAATCCAGACATATCCGGACCATCCCAACCACGAAGGGATTCTTTACAGTATATAAGACATCTTCGTTGATTCAGTTTCTGCATTTTCTGCGGATCGAATTGCACTATGGACTCTTGTGAGGGAGCGCCCAACACCAAAGGAGGATACGACTCGACAGGCAAAAAACGTGTCAACAAAAAACACACACCCAAGCTCAACTCAACTTGGATTGACCATGTCTTGTGTGATGCTAAACAGTTTATCCTGCTTCAACACAGTGTTGGTCGTAAACACGGCCTCACCGCGACTCACGGCGACTCGAGCGAGCATATCGAGAGCTTTGGATCTACAGTATCCTAATCAGATTCTGTAACAAACAACCGGCCATGCCGTTTTTTCTGCCCTCCTCACAAGCGCGCGGCCCCTCTGGTCAATTTGATTTTTAAGTCTTCTAGATGTCTACTGCGCGATCTGCTGCAGCTCACTCAGCTCAGCTGACGCACAGCTTCAGCCAGATGGCCCCGCAGGAGCTTTGCTGCAGGCATTGACAGGTCGCGCGGCGAGCCGACCTGGGTCAGCGGGGAGCGGTGCTTCGTCAGCGGCGGAGGGGAGCAGCATGGAGCAGCATTCTGTCAGAATTCGATGGTGCTTCTCTTGGGGGTGACGTTGGCCACCCCAGGAAAAGGAAATCTATTCAAAACCTTTCATGATACATGATGCTTCATGTGCTGATTTGGAACAAGCTCAATAGGCTCTCAGAGCTTGCAAGAAACCATTAAAAGAAACACACATTAATTACAGATCATTATTAATATTCTATAATCTTTGAAGCACCAATGGGTAAACACAAACAAACTTTAGACGTTGCAAACACACCACAAAGGTCGCAGGATGCTTTCACGGAGTCTCCAGAGCTGCACTGAAACACCAGATACCGCGGGTTCCAGACGGTTCCGGCCAGACACGGCCGAACCACACCGGACGAACCTCACCGTTTTCGGGTCCCGATGCCTGGGGCGCCCGAACGCGATCCCGGAGGTAGGCGATGCAGGCGGCGAGCACGGCCAGATCGGAGCCAGAGAGCTGGGTCTCGGACTGCACCAGGTCCCGGACGTTTTGCCTGGGCGGCGCTGGCGCCACGAAGCGCCAGCGGCAAAGCCGGCGAGGGTTCTGTTGTGGCGGAAAAGACCCAGCTGGGGACCTTCTAAGGTGAATGGCACTCCCTCTAGAGGGATGCCACATGTATAGAGATATAGAGTTCTTTGGGGGGTCTTTCTGGAGTGGCATTTAGGGCTGTGAGATGTTATGGCTGGATGTGTCTCAAGATGAGGTGGCAAGCATTGATGGAGGTTCGAGTTCGCGAACTCATCCTATCCACCAAAACTAATAGCAACATGTACGGGCCAAAGGTGGGGGGCCTTCCCTTGCTTCGGCTTCTGATCTTGTAAGTGGTATAACAAGCGTTCCACCGCTTCTTGGATTGGTTTGTACACAAAACCACTGCCTGATGAGTTCTGACATGTTCTGACTATACAGTACCTTTGCGCCCCCAGAATCAAAAATAAAGATGTGAGTGATTCTCGCGACTCATGGACATGAGCCTATGATATCCCATGGTCGGCAAGACCCCTCTGTCAGAGATGAGATGGGGCCCGAAGAGCTTTTAAACAAATCCCTTCCACAAACCAATCCCATTTCACGCTCTTCAACAAAACGTGCTGCAGGCAATTGTTCGGCCACACATTCCGAAAGCTTTAAACAACAGTGATACAATGAATCAAAGACGGGTCTCATCTTCCAACGGGCCGATGTGGTCAGTTCCAACAACGACTCTTCTCCAAAAGGACACGCAAGTCTTGGGAGTTGAGTAAGGTTTCCCATGAATAGCTTCTCAACAGGATCAAGCACTTCCCCATCTCATGAATACCTGGGATGAACTGTGGTAATCCTCCATCCATGTGCTGTACCGAGGGCCCCATCACTCGTACAGCCCAGCGACGTAAAGCTTGCATCGCCCTTCAAGAGGCTGCTGGCCACAGCCCGCAGGACCACATTCACTGCAGGTGCCACATCCAAATTCGGCCTCAACATCTGACTGATCATGCTGTGGTCAAACCATGTCAACCCCCTTAGCAGGATATAATACAGTATATAACACGTGGACAACACCTAATATCTTTGAGAAGTCTGACAAAACACAGTGCTTCCATCGCTGTACTGCCATGTTTGGCTCAAAGGCAGTACTTGACGGATTGGAGAGTTAGGGCGGTTGAACCACACCCCGCCGATTCCGACGAACGCTGCGGCCCTGGATCGCTCCATGGACTTGAAATCCTGAAGGCGATTGCCCAATGTATCTATAGTATATCTCCTCCGCATATCTCATCTCCGTTCATCTCCAACATTTGTACTGTCTGAAGCATTCTCCATCATTTTCCCAACCATCTATGACAGTGCTTTAGCTGAAAAAGATCAAACAAATCAACAGCAAGTACACAAAACAATGTCGAATTGATGCATCCCGGCGCGTTGTTCAAAGTCATCTGATCCCACCAACGACTGCTCCAGCTTCTTCATTAACATCGCTGCAGAGTGCGATCGTCAACACCCGAGCCCCCTGGCCTGGCATAGGGATCTGCCAACTCACCTCGTCAAACGACAAAAATCAAGGATCACTTGGGAATCACCTCTCAAACAGGAGGGATGTGAACCTGCGGTTCGGGCCGAGCTGCCATGAGGCACAACCTGCTGTGTTCACTGTTCACCCGATGCAAGTGGTTTGCACGGGCAACAGGTGTGACGCTGTGGTCATGCTGAGTGAGGAATGGAATCAAGAACGCGCTGCGATGAGGACGGATGATAACAGAGCGTTATGTAGACTGTCGACTGTCGATGTATAAAAGGGCTACCGATGTAGATTCAACAACATCTTCATATGTTGGGAGGGTTTTATTCATCAATTAGTCTACATGATCTGGCTTTTTTCAAGTCCCTTGAACAATTATTATAGTCAGTGAGTTCAATCATCCCAAGTAAAAGGTTGAAACTTAAAAGTATCTGGCACCACCACCCAGTTATGGCAGGCTGAGCCGCTCTTTGTCGGGTTCCCGCGAGCCCAGGAGCCCACGTCCTTCCCCGCCGCTCGACAGCAGAAGCGGGTCACAGCCTCGGCCAAGATGGAGAGCACCCAGTGCATGGCCCACTCAGAACAAGAGAGTCCTAGAATGACCATGTAAAAACAGTAGGTCACCTGTCATGTAGGGTCATCCATCATCAACAGTTCGACAAACCGACAACCCCCTACGAATTAAAATCAACCAACACCCGCTCCCGCCCCAATGCGATCGATCCACCGCTTGTTCGGGCGCGACGGCAAAGCGGCTCATCGAGCCACCGTGCCTCCTGATTCTCGATGAGCCTCATCGCCGCCTCGATGCAGAAGTCCTCGCGAAAACCGATCGGAGCGGTGTGCAGGGGTGCTCACACAGCACTGAGCACGGCGAGCCGGTGGTGTTTGAAGCATGATTAGCTTACAATGATCTTCATGTAGGTGCTCTGCAGGTGTTTCGGACAAGACGGACTTGGTGGCATTTGCTGTAAAAGAAGTCTTCCCTCAGTCCCAAATGTTGAAAACATGGGTACTACGAGTTGAGTAGAGGTAGCCGAGCCGCAACAGTCGCATTGAACCACAGCACAAAAGGAAGGCTTCTCATACCAGTTCCGTCCTTAACAACCCTGGCACCAAGAAGCATCCATGAAGTGGTTGATGGTCCCATTGGCTCCCCAATGAAACTCATCCGGGCTTGTTTCTCCGCTTCAACTCCATTGAAACCCGTGGGTAAAGCCTAGATGATTTAGTGACTTCCAAAAGCAACAACACTACAGGACACATATTTTCTCCTTCTGAGTCTGTTGTCTAAAGACCATGTTACAAGCATGGACCATGGAGATACAGTAGTTCAGGTCATCTTCAGCCCACCCTTCTGACCCAATACCGGCATCTTGTGGGATATTTGCAAGTTCGCGGGCTTTCGCCCCCAATGCTCTCGGCCGGCGTCTTCTCCTGCTCCGCGCGTTGCGTTTGGGCCTTCGTGGGGGGTTCGACGTCGTTCTGCCATTGCACGGGCAGCGACGCCTTCTTCGGGTCAATCATCTCCTTAGATCATCTGTCATGTCATTTGACACCCTGAACCAAATCCACGAATTCAAACGTTCACCGTCTTCCTGATTCTTGAACATGGTGCTTCAAAACCATGGCTTGCATGGGACATGGGGGAAGGGGGGTTCCTATGTCCCACACGCTGATTCATCTCAGCCCTCTGGGTGGGTGGATTCCGTGTCCACATCTGCCCACGGTGTGGGTC